GAGAGAGGAAGATAGAGACAGAGACAGAGACAGAGAGAGGAAGAGAGGAAGGAAATGAAGATGTAAAGTCATCCGTGTTTTTTTTAACCTCTGCCTGTTTTTCTGTTGTATGTCATTTTATACTGACTCAAATTCCTTTCAATATTCCTTTCCCTTATATCGAAGTAGCGTAAGTTTTAACCATTGGCGTTTAAGAGCTTTGCCATTAGACACTTTTACATAGACACTTTGGGACCCTAATCATTCTGAAGTGGATATCGACAGGCACTTGGGCTATGCCATCTTACATGTGGGGAAACTAAGGCAGAGGGATCAAAAAAATCTATGAATCTATAGAAGTAATATTTTGTGCATCTTAAAGCTTCATGTCATTGACTTTACTTTTTATGAACACACATTTTTCTTATTTTTTATCTTTCTTAGATTTAATTTCTAATTTTCTATCAGTCTGACAGTACTAAAAGCTTTCTAATAAAATGCTACATTACCTGCTTCTCTTTCTTGTCTTGGAGAAGGCAGGTTTCACATATTTTATTCAATGTAATACAATATTGCTGCATCTAGATTCATCAATTTTGGCCAGGCAGTTCATTTTTTAAATTAGACTCCTACCGTCTAATTACTTTCTATTTAAAAAAAAAAACAGGCATGGCCAGGAGGTGGTGGTGGAGCACACCTTTAATCCCAGCATACTGACAGGCAGAGGCAGGCGGATCTCTGTGAGTTCAAGACCAGCCTGGTCTAGTGAGTTCCAGGACAGCCAGAGACACACGGAGAAACCCTGTCTTCAAAAACCAAAAACCAAACCAAAACACCACTCCAAACAAAACAAACCAATCATCAAGTGAAAATCCAGAACAACAAAACAAAACAAGAACATAGTTTTGGAGTTGAACCAATCAATGGTCAGGGCTCATGTTATAATGGCCATGCAGGTGTTTGGAACTGAACCAATCAATGGTCGGGGCTCATGTTATAATGGCCATGCACGTGTTTGGAACTGAATCAATCAATGGTCGGGGCTCATGTTATAATGGCCATGCACGTGTTTGGAACTGAACCAATCAATGGTCGGGGCTCATGTTATAATGGCCATGCACGTGTTTGGAACTGAATCAATCAATGGTCGGGGCTCATGTTATAATGGCCATGCACGTGTTTGGAACTGAACCAATCAATGGTCGGGGCTCATGTTATAATGGCCATGCACGTGTTTGCCATTGCTGCTTTGCTCGGGTTGTATTTTTTTCTCTTTCTGTTCATTTTCTGTTTGTTTTGAGACAGGGTCTCCTGTAACCCAGACTGTTCTTGAATTAAGTGTATAGTGGGGGACGACCCTGCACTCCTGATCTTCCTGCATCCCCATCAAATGCCCTTAATATGCACACACCACCAGGTCCAGCTAATTTATGTTTCTAAATTTGCTACATTTCCCCCCAGGGACTCTAATATCTGTAACGTAACACGGAGTTAATATTCTTCCCCCAAAATGCAAACAGTTTCAAACACTCACAGTCATTATCTTCTTGGACACTTCCTTCCTGGTAGAGCTGTTTACATGTCAGCCTGGGAATAATTGTCTGTCCTGATGGGGTATTTACTTTTAATTTTCTTATGTTCAATCTCGTCTTCCTTTGTTGCAGGTCCTAGTAGTTCCCTAAAGAAACTGCTTTCCTAAAGAAGCATTGGGAAATACGTTTTCATTCTTCATGGATACATGGGTTGGGTATAGAAGTTTTGATTAAAAAGTTTTTTTTCCTCCTTACATCTCTACTTCTTGCTAGCTTCTGGTTTTGCTGTTGATAACTTAAACTTTATTCTCATTTCCAGTTGATTGAATTTGTCCTCCTTCCCCAGTTTATGAGACTTTGTTACTCAATGTTATAAGCCAGGTCTTGCATGTAGAGGGCAATTCCTTATGTTAATACTTTCATGATCTAATATGAAATGTCTTTTCTGCTCTTGTGTGTGCTGTTGGTGGATGTGCTAATATTGCAATAATGTACTTGTATTAATGTTCTTAGCATCTATTGTGCATAATCATTATTGCTTCCTCTAATCTTTTCCCCTCTTCGTGATAAAGTGGGAGCTGGATGTTGTAGCACTCATCTGTGATCCTGGCCTTCAGGAGGCTGAGGCAGGGGGATTGCTACAAATTGGAAGCCAGCCTAGACCACACAGTGAGAATAGGCCAGCTAGGGTTATAGGGTGGTATCCTGTCTTTGAGAACACTCTAAACTGGGCTAGAGAAGAGTTCAGAAGTTAGGAGCCCTTGGCGCTCTTGTAGAGGACCTGAGTTCAGTTTGCAATGCCCACAAAACGAAGGGTTCACAACAATCCATAACTGTAGCTGCACGGTTTCTGACATCCTTTTCTTGCTCCCTTGGGCACACATGGTGCATACACATGCAGGTAAGACATGCATACAATAAAATAAAAATAAATGAATCTTTAAAAAACACTGGATAATTAAATAAAATCATATAATAAACGACGACATCAAAAGTGAAGAAATAAAAATAAGAAATGGAACTTTGCCCTCGCTGCTAATTTGCAGATTCCCTAGGCATTATTTCCAAGCACATTGTTGCATTTTACCTTCTAATTGCTCTCTCTTTATTTGTGTTTGTTTTTGTGTTATGACCCCTGTTCTCCCCTAGAAAGTTTCCATTTCTTGGTTACAAAACCTTCCCATTTCTACTTGATTTTATGCCTCATAATATCCTTCTTCCTCTCCCTGCCCCCTGACTTCTATTTTTTATGTCTTGTGCAACTTTACTCTCTCTGTTGATAAAGATTTATGGACAGTGCATCGGGACAGGGCTTAATGCCTAGCAAGCTTTCTTAGGGTAAGCCAGAGACTTGTCATCCAGTTAGGTGACTCCAGATGACAGTGTCTCTTTGTCTTGGATTTCTTCCAGTTCTGCATAGTCATCTTTTAGTCATTTTGGGGATTTCGGGGACTAGTAAGAAAACGTGCTGCTCAAATGTGGATTTCCACTAGGTTTTAGCATTTTTAGCCATGCACCAAATCCATGCCTAGTATATTGGTGATGTCCCAAGTCCGGAGCCTGGTTTTATTCCCTAAGAGATTGAATTCTTGTATTGGTTTGGGCTTGGGATAGTCGTTCCCTAGTAAGGGTAAGGGAGGGGCTGAGAGTCCATACTTTGCCCTCACTAATTCTTGTAGAGGGAGCAGATGTTAATTCTGTATTTATTTGAGACAGGGTTTGACTATGTAGGCCAGGCTGCTCTTGAACTTGGAGATGTTCCCTTTCAACCTTCCCATGCTGAGATCACAGACATGCACCACCATGCCCAGGTAGACTGGTATACTTATTTGACCTACTTTGCTTAGTAGGAGACATAGCCTATGTTTTTTTTAAAATTAAATTTCACAAAAGACAAATTTGTGCAACTGAGTCTCGGCAATTAGCTAATATTTGGTGGGGGGAGAGGGTAGGATAATGAGTGTGAACATTTAGAAAGAAAAGCTTAAGAATGCTCATTTTATTATTCAATTAGTAATTATATTAGCTCACCATAGTGAATTTGAAATCTTTGGATTTATTTCTCTGGGTTTACTTATAACAATATGTCTGAAATGTGTTAAGTAGACACATTGGCAGAAGGAGAAGTGGTGTGTGTGTGTGTGTTTTCAAGAGTGACAGCAAGAGAAACCGGATGGGAGGGAATAATGGGTCCAAGAGGAAGCAGAATGTTAGGTTTGGGTTTCGGGAGGGTGGTGTTTTCCGAATGCAGCCATACAAACACTTTTAATAGCACTGATAATGTTTAGTGACTATCTGAACTTGACTCTTTATTGCCCAATCTCACAGACCATCTAAGCTCTCTTACGGTCTTCAAGATGCTGCCCCATTAGCTTAGTCCCGTGACTGTGTTTCCAGCTCTTAAGCAACTTTCTGAGGTCTCCTCGAGTCAATGGTGAGCAATAACCAGAGAGGAGACCACTCTTAGGCTGAGCAATGGAGAAAGGTTTGCTTTCATCTATATAAGATGGTTTGCCTTTTGAGTAACAACAAAGGGCGCTTGAATGTCCTTTGAACACTTTGTGAATGAGAAGGCTTAGAGTTTTACCTACCATATTAGAAGATTTTTAAATCGTATATGTGGAAGTGAGGCATAAGGGCTCCAAGGGTCCTGAGGTTAGGTTAACCGTGGAGAGAACAAACACACCTATGCTTCCTCTTGGAGAAATTATAGCCACCGATTCTTAACAATGTCATTTTACTTCAGTGAAACTGACTTTTGCCCTATTATCTCCTCTTTTGGGGTTATTTTTTAAAACCTTCCCACTAGATTTATTATGACTGCTGTCACCCGATACTAAGAATCACTTTGGTGGTGTTTGGCATGCAAGGACGCTGACTCTACTTCTTGGGGGTGGGGAAGGATGAGCTGGAAGTTTTAACATTTCTTGATCCTAGGAGGCACAAAAGCACGAGCCAATATGCCAGGCAGGCTCTGTCCCTGTCATGTGTGGCTATTTTAAATCAGTCTTCTGTGTTTACATGTACAAACGATGACACTCATGTGTCCTAGGGGCTGACAAGCTTGTGAGCCGGACAGACGGACAACCCTCCTCACAGGAGGGCATCATCCCTGCTCACTTTTTTTTTTCTTCATCATAGTTGCTCACGAAGTGTTGATGGGAACAATTTGAAGAAGAAACATGATACAGGGAAAGCAGAAATTCCATGCGATCCTCATGAGAATAATTTTATATGACTTTAATATATTCAATTCCATTCTAAAGGTTATATCGAGAGGAGGCCTGGGGGGGGCTGCATGCTCGGGGTAAGGGGACTGATTACAGTGGTTTGGTGGTAAAGATGTGTATTTCTAATGGTCAAACCCTTTTCCCGAGCACAGGCTATGGTCAGTGTGTGGCTGAGCTGTGACCTACCCCCATCTCCCTCCCTCCCTCCCCCTCTCTCTCTCCTCCCTCCTCCCTCCCTCTCTTCTCTCTCTTCCTCTCCCCCCTCCTTTCTTTACTTGTGAAGGAGTCTTTTTTTTTTTTTTTCTCTTTTCTTCCTGGACCTTTGTTTTCCTCTTAAGTCATTGCTGAGGTATTTGCAAACCAAGCCAGCACTTATGCTTTATTCACCAAAAGAGAACAAAGCATCTGCAAATAGAAGCGGGCTGATAAACACTGGAAACGCGCGGGCGGAAGTCGGAGGACTCCTTCCTTATCCTCACCTGCCATCGGGCTGCATCCCAACCTCTCTCAACTCTCTCACTCCTCTCATCTGCGAAATGGGGTCAATAGAGGATTTTCTCTGCGAGGTGGGGATGATGGGAGATTAAAAGAGATGACGTGGGCACATCACTCCCAAAAATAAACTCGAATTGAAAGTTAACAATAATATTATGACTTGTGTGGTCACAACAAAAACTTTTCTCCTCCAGCTGTCAGGAACGTCTGGTGAGTTTCACATTCTTGGTCACACCGCCAGCTCCTAGGTTGGAGCTCCAGCACCACTGGAGAGTGCACGGGGCAAGGCCCCTTGGAGAAAGCACAGAAGTACAAGACTCAGCTTGGGCCGTCGAATCTTGGAAAGCCATCTCAAGGAAGAAACAGGATGCCGCTGTCAAGGGAAGGAAAAGGGCCCCACTTCTGGGAATCACTTCTGCTTTTCTGAAGACGAAGAAGGGAAAAAAAAAAAAAGCTCCGATGTTGCAATGTTGGTTTTTTTTTTTCCCAAGGCAGACTCGTGTCCCTAGATGGAGGAAACCCTGACACGCAAACAGGAGATTCTCAGGGCTCCGAGGCCGCGTGGGGAGGGGTGCCCGGTGCTCAGAACCTTGCAGATCTTTGTTGGGGGGGAGCCCCACGTCCCAAGGATAAAAGCGCTGTCCTCCACCCAGGTCGCCCCACTCCGCCCGGTCCCCGCAGACCCCCACGGCGCGGCCAGACCGCGGCGCCTTTAAGGCTTTGCTGGCCGCACATGCTCAGCTCTTTGTGTAGTTGGGAGTTTTGAAGAAAAAGAGAAGAAGCGGTCAGGAGGAGGCTGGGGGCTGGGGGCTGGGGGGGGGGGAGAGCTGCACTTTGGCGGCCGCGGCGTTGCCAGGGCGGCTTCCCCGCGTGGACGTCTCCTCCGTGGGCTCCGCGGCGCGGGCCACACATGGGGGTGGGGGGACACACGATCCCATCCGTGCGGGCCCGGGTGGGCGAGCGAGCGCGGGGGAGTCCCGGGTCCCCGACAGGGGCCGGGCGAGACCACAGCTCCGGAGCCGGGAGGGGGTGAGCGGCCAGGAGCGCGCGAGGCTGCGGGGACGCCCCTGCCCAGCGTGGGCTGCGGCCGCGGGCTCGGCGACTGGCTCCGGCCGGCGGAGGGAAGCCGGCATCCGCGGGGCCCCGGGATGGCTGGACGGCGGGCGGCGGGAGGCTGAGGTCCCCGCTCCCGTTCCCTCCCCCGCTGCTCGCAATGGGCGCGCCCGGCTCGGGGCGGGGTGGGGGAGGTTCCCGCTCGGCCCCGCCCTCCCCGGCGAGCGGCGCTCGGCAGCCCCGGCATTTGGCGCGGGCCGCGGGCGAGGCGGGGCCGTGTGCGTCCCCTCCCCGTCCCCGCCCGGTCCCCTCCCCCTCGGGTCCCCTCCGGAGCGCGGGGCGCCGCGGGGCTCTCGGCTCGGCTCCACGGGGCTGCCGCGCCTGGCCGCGGGGGGAGGGTTCGGCTCGCCCAGGGCAAGGTCAGGGGAGCGGGCGGCGATGCCCGAGCGTTTTGACCGGAGGCAGCCGATCGAAGGCCGCCGCGGCTGGGGACCGTCGCTCGGCACCGGACAGTCGCACGGGGGTCGGAGCCGCTGAGCAGCCGAGGAGCGGCGGCGGTGGTGGCGGCGAGGTCGTCTGCGGCCAGGATCCCGCCCCAAAGCGGCATCCCCTTGCGCGCCCGCGAGCGCAGCCCCGCGGAGCCGCGGCTCCGGGGAGGATGGAGCCTGGGGGCCGGGCCCGCTCGGATGCCCCGCAGCCGGCCGCCCCGGGGATGTGCAGGGCTCGGCCGGCGGGCGGCGGGGGCGCCTCCTCCCGGCCGCTGCTGGACGGGCGCAGCCCGCGGCTGCTGTGCTACGGCTTCCTTTACCTGGCGCTCTGCGCTCAGGTGTCCCAGTGCAAGCCCTGCGAGAGGACCGGCTCCTGCTTTTCGGGTCGCTGTGTCAACTCCACCTGCCTGTGCGACCCAGGCTGGGTGGGGGACCAGTGCCAGCACTGCCAGGGCAGGTTCAAGTAAGTGCCACCGCGGGACATCCCTCCTCCCCCCAACCCCCGACGACCTCAGACCTTCCCTGCCACCGTGGCTCCCTGTCCTGCTGTGACCTCGGGGTCCCCCTCCCCTCGTGCTTCCCCAGCTCCTCTTGCTTCTCGGGAGAGGGGTCCGGGCTGCACCCCCTCCGGCCGCTCGCTGCCCTCCCTGGCTGAGTCCTCAGCGCCTGGTCATCCATCCATCCATCCATCCATCCATCCATCCATCCATCCATCCATCCATCCATCCATCCATCCATCCATCCATCCATCCCTGCGCAGAGCGTTGTCACTCACGGCCATGCTGCCAAACTCCGCCAGTTAGGACCATTTATCTGTTTCTATCAGAAACGGGTGCAAACAAGGCGTGAAACCCCCAACGGACGCTGTGGGGGAGCGAGACGAGGCGTGTCAGGGTTTAAAGTTGCGGCCCAGCCCCTTTCCCCCCTGTAGTCACAGGGTGCTCCTCACGGTTTAGCAATCGTCCAGTGTGGTAGATAGGGTTTTACAGCGGGCGTGCTGCTGCGTTCTGGTACCTTGTGGTGAGCTCTGGGGTCGATCGGTGTCATTCATTCCCGAACAAGTCTGTATACTCTTACCGGGGCGGTATGCTTCCTAGGCAGGATCTGCTGAGAGAAAGCCAGGCAGCAAAATCGAGTTAACTCCATCAAGGTTACGCAGAAAGTGCTGAGTCGTGATTCCAAACCTTCCAGCTTTACTCCAGCATATGCACTTTTTTTTTAAAAAGAGATGTTGGATTTTGATAGGACGGTCTTGGGTTTCCGTGGCGTTTGACAGTAGTGAAGAGTCATTTTGGGTTTTTTCTCACGCTGGAGGTGCTTAGGAGTGTGAGTCGCCGGGGCAAAGATACTTCTCCCTCTTGGTTGATGCTGAATAGATTTCTGCTCTGCCCCCCCCCCCAAAAGAAGGGTGGCTCTGGGCAAAGAAGTTTCTTGAGGCCTTTGGTGCAGTGCTCTTGACAACCTGCAGTGTTTAGGAAGCTTGTCCTGGAGTTCGCCGGCTGATTTGTGGCTGTGAAATTGTTGTTACTTAGATGACTAGTGTTTGTTGTGAAGATGATAGCAAAATCTAGGTGAATTATCTCTGGTGTTTGAGGCAAAGGTAAGGATATGGTTCACACTGTGAGTATAGTCCCGGGTGGTTTCTTCAGAGATCTAATAGCAGCATGCTTTTTTTTTTTTTTTTTTTTTGCTTTCCTCTCTTTCCCCCATTTTTACTGTCGCTGGCTACAACAGTGCAGTGCCCCCTATTCAATGTAAAAACGTTTGTTTAAAAAAACTTAAGTAGATTTTGCTATTTAGTTTGTTGTATGCAAGGGGAGCGGTAGGTAGGTGATATTTTGTAACATTTGTTTGGCGCTGTGGGTGTTCCCCGGTTTCAGAAGTTGGTATGTAAGCTTTAGGAATGCATTTAAAATCATTTGAGAGAGGCACCAAGGGAAAGTTTAGGAATGTTTTACCGTGAGACAAGAGCTCTGATTGATCCATGCCTCATGAGTAGCCTTATTTCCTTTGGCTTCGGTTCATCTGTTAAGAGAGTATCTTGAATGTGTATACCGGGAACAACCAGAAAGGGAAGTCTGCATTCATTTTTCACATTTTTCTACAAAACAGTAAGATTGTTTGATCCACATGTAACTAGTTAGTGAGTCTTGGCTTTTGCGGTGGTGAATCTGCTCCGTTTGTCTAAAGAGGCTGTCCAGTGCTCCAGTTCTGAGAAGCTCCATCCGGTGCCTGTAGTTTGTAGTAGGGACACTTGTGAAAGCTAGGTCAGCAGGCTGTGACTTCAGTTAGATGCTGTCCCACTTACTAAGATAAATCACACAGATCGAGTTAAAAAAGCAGACCACATAACACTGGAAGATAGGTGGATGTTCATGAACCAAATACATTATTGAGTAGAAAGAAGAGTAGGTTTTCGTGGAGGTAGACGATAAGTCCTGAACTTATTATTGGATATTCGTCCGTGGGAAGCTGTAAATCCCACGATTCATTGTGCTCTTGACAAATGCGACTTAGTTTTTCTACGAGACACAAGTTACTAGGGTAAATGTAAGTACTACAGATTTGTGTTTTCTCATGCATACTCTTAGGGGCAAAAGAGGTTTTATCTAATGTCAAAGAATACAGCCACTTAGAAGGACATAGTTGTGCTTGGTGAAGTCCCTTGTGAGCTATGACAGGGTTATTTGAAGGGTTCTCTATCATCTGAAGTCACACGCTGGGAAAGAGCCTGGCTTGGCGTTCTCTGTCCATCAGATATTTCGGAAGTCTTTAGGAAGCCGAGTGATAGCAGCCTTAGAGGTGGTCATGAACAGTGATGGATTAATCCTGCTAAGCAGGTGTCAAAATTAATTGGCGTGTCACCTTAGTCTTTTTCTATTATGGATGTTTCAGCCAGGGAATGAATGCCTTTTTAGATGGGAAGGCTGATGGTTTGGGGGAAGAGACGTCGAAGCGAGCACAGTCTCAGAAGTGATGCTTCACACCCCCTAGCATTGGCTCTAGTCTCTTGTTTGTTTCCCTTTGAACAGAATAAGACATGCACAATTAGAAGACATTTCTGACAAAGGTGAAACAAAGTTAGCATCCATTGTTTTTTTCACTCAAGTTAGGCTCAGGGGGTCAGGCTCAGGAAGCACAATGCTAGTTTCAAATACAATCGAGGCTCCAGTACACTTTAATTGGAATTATGTGTGAGTAGCATTGTAATACGTTAGGCTGGGAAACATTCCAATATAATTTACCTGTATAAATGACAGATGATCTTTTTATTAGAAGCTGGTTAGATTATCTTTGCAGAGCAGTTGACATTTTTATTTGTAAAAAAAAATCGATATTTTGTGTTAAAACTTGGACATTTTCTTCTTACTGTATCTTTGGTTCTTATTACTCTCATCTCCTTGGTGAATCAGAGATTAGAAAAATGTCTCACTATATGTGAATTATTTGTAAATATAGAATTATAAGCACTTACGTATTAGCTCTTTTAAAAATCATTAGCTGTATTCTGTACACAACTCTTAGACCTTCAGGTTAGTCAAATTTGGGTTCTGAGTTTCACATGTTTATAATGAACTTTTTTTTTTTTGTTTTTTTGGGTCAGGGTTTCACTGTGTAATAATAGCCTTGGCTGTCCTGAGACTCACTCATCTGTATACCAGGCTTGTCATGAACTTACAGAGATCTGGGATTAAAGGCTCATGCCACCACCTCCTGGCTGGAATTGTATTTTTAATAACAGTAAAGTAAATATATTCTGTCAGGAAGTAGGATGTTTCCTATCAACAGAGGATGCAGGATTCAAATTCACACTTTTTTTCTAAGCTACTTTCTTTTCTTCCTTTTTGAGACAGGGTCTCTGTGCATACCCCTGACTGTCCTGGACTCGCTCTGTAGACAGAGATCCTCTTGCCTTTGCCTCCCAAGTGCTGGGATTAAAGGTGTGGCCTCCATGCCCAGCCTAAGCTACTAGAACACACTCCTTGCTGAGTGCAGAGAAAGGAGCCCAGACAGGGAGCTCTTGTGGGGTGGACCAAAATCCCACCTGGGATAAGTCAACTTCCTGACCCTGAGAGTCCCCAAGAAATCAAATATTTATTGCTAATTATAGGAGACCTTTGAGTAACTTTAATGTGGAAAATTGAATGTTCTCTATCTTCACTTCCAAGTAAAATTATAGTAGATAATTTATATCGTCATTTGTATTATTAAAATATGTAATCACAGAGTAGGGATTTAAAATAATTTAAATGGACTGTTTCAGTCTAAATTTGTAAAGTTTGTTTCTTTTTTTTTTTGTCTCCATTATTTGGCTTCTTGTTTTCTAAGTTCCTTGTGATTTCATTTTTGTCTCAGGGTTTTACACAGTCCTTGCTTCTCAGAACTCTTCCTGTCTAGTCTTTGCTTGGATAATTACTGTCGAGCCTTCTCATCCTAGCTTAACTACAGGTTTCTAACGGTGGCTTTTCTGACTCCTCAGTCATAGCTTGCTGTATCCTGCTATAGCACAGCTTCTCCAACTTAGTGCTTTCAAAGCAAAGTATTTAGTTATTTTTTTCTTCACAATTTCATTTTTATTTTATTTTGTGGTCCCTCACATTAAACCCAAGCAAGGTCTTACATATGCTTTTCAAGTGTTAGGCTGAATTGCAATGTAAAAATTATTTTTATTTTTTAAAATTGTGTGGTGTGTGCATGCATGCATGTATGTATGTATGTGCATGTATGTGTGGTGTGCATGCGTGTGTATATGTGCATGTGTGTAGTGTGTGCCTGTGCATTTATGTGTGTGCATGCATGTGTGAGTCAAGGAGTCCAGAAGAAGTCTCTAGAGCCCCTGGAGTTGGAGTTACAGGCACTTGTGAGCTCACTAACATCCAGGGTTCTGGGAGCTGAACTCACTTCTTCAGCAAAAAACACTGTGTGTTTGTAACCTCTTATTTCTCTAGCCCTTGAGCTATAATTTGTAATGCACCATTTACTTAAAGTCTATTATTTGGGAAGTTTTGTCTTATGTATATATCTCTGAAGCTACTATCACAGTCATAACGATCATATAAATGGCAGTCACACCCAAAAGTCTTTAATGCCTCCATTCCACTCACATTGCTTCCATTTCTTTAGCAGAGATACCAATCCAGTAAAGACATGATTAGCTGTTTTTTTTTTAGATTAAAGACATTTTATTTTATGATTTTATGTGGATGAGTGTTCTGCCTGGAGGCCTGGCAGGGTGGTGGCCTATCCCCCGGAACTGGAGTCAAGGACATTTAGGAGCTGCCCCTGTGGGTGCTGGAAATTGAATCTGGATCCTGGAAGAGCAGCCAGTGCTCTTAACTGCACAACCATCTCCCCAGCCCCATGTGTTTAATTTTTAAATGGAAGCTATTTTGCAGAGTGATTGCAATCATTTACCTTCCTAAGTCGTATTAGAATGTTTTAGTTAATTCACATCCCCATTAA